CAAATCTACATGACAAATTGGTCTATAGGTTGAAAAATCTCTCAGTTTTTTTAGAGAAGGGATGTCAAACTCATTTTAATCCATGTGCCACATAAATGCAGCTCAAACTGATACAAGGTGCACTAGAGCAGTAACCCGATTTGCAAGTATTTACATTTAAGGCCAATCAAATTCACCTATAGCCAAGATTTTCGTTTTAAAAGAAGCTGACAGCACAGGTCCAAGTCAAATACAACATATTGTGTATACACTACAATACACATGATAAATAGTCTGAGATAAGATGGGATAAACTTAGAAATGTAGAGTTTCTGCAGCTAAACAAAAAATCTTTTTTACGTCTCTATGATTCGAACCACCTGCCTACATCTACTGTAGAAACATTTCTAATTATCCATTGTTTTCACAACCAAAAGCAGTAGCGGTTTCTTTTTCTTGAACATTTTGAGTAATTAATGTCATCACTTCTCTATTTATACTTTGCAAAGTAGTTACTTTGGGTTCTGGCTCCTGGCTTTGTTTCTATATGTTGATCCCACATGAGAGAGTCTGATACATCTTGGTCAGCTCCAGCAGACATTTTTATGCACACAACATAGCGCTCTAAATTATAAAACCATATGGGGAAGATGCATTTGCATCACAACTGACAACTCAAAATGTAAGCATTAAATTCAGCACTTTTATATGCACAACACACAAACAGGCCATGACTCATATTCTTGAGCAAATGGGACTCTGACAATACAGAGTTGTTTTCTCATTTAGTGACCTGGTACAAACCGAATGCTGCAGAGGCTAAATGTTGGAATGGGGGAAGAGGGATTTATGCAATTCAGATAATGTGTTTTGAAAAGGGCAGGAGGGCATTATGAAACCATTGTAGCCACTGCAAGGAAGGCGGCGGGGATGCACTTAAGCATATTTGGCAAATAGCAAAGGGAAGACAACAGACATGCGCATTAGACTTATGGCTCACAGAAGCTTTATGTTCAAAAAAGCGGTCCAAAAACTGAAAGTGCTGTTGTAGACTGTAGGGATAAATTCATGTATTATTCACAGGTGGACAGGAAAAAAATGGGAATGCTACAGATTGCTGCCTCCTGGTTGCCATAGAAACCACCGAAATGACAAGCCAGCAGTTGCTTACGCTGAATCATAAAAAAGGAAGCATTTTGGTTTCCGGTGATTTCTGATTATTTCATCGTTATGTGAGGTAATCTGCCTCCGTTCATTGTCTCTCATAATCCTCTCCTTTGTCAGCATTAATTGGATAAGTCCAGCTAGCCTACTCCTCCTCTCCCTGCTCCAATTAGGAGGAAGCCTCTGCTCCTCAGCTCCCACAATTGCTTTTCACCTTTCAACTTCCCTGCCCCCTTTCACCTTTCCACCCGGAGCACCTTTGAACTGTTCCGCTGTCCTGAGGTTTTGGATGGAGGCAAATCTTAGAGCTGTGTGTCTAGAGGTTTTAAAAATAGGCATCGTTTACACGCTGGAGCCACAATCTCTCATTAAATCGCTTTTTCCCTCCCAGTGCAAGGACACACAATCGCAGGTGGGGATATCACATCGTTTCTATAGAATATAATGATGTGCATTCAGCAATGATAACATGCGCTCGCTTTGTCAGTGCTTTAAGGAGCATTCTTAAATAAAAGCATCGGCTCACCTGAGCTGAAATGGGAGCTGGCAGCAAAGCCGGGGCTGAAAAACCCTGAAGACATCATCATCATCATCAGGAGAGCCAGCATCTTCACAGCCGGCGTGGCAATGACCGAAAGAGAAAGCAAATGCAGGACTCGGAGGAAAGCAAATTAGGCGACACTATTTCTCGAGCATGGCTTCATTTCTCCCTTCCGAAGCGGACCCATGCCATTTCGCAACGCGCCCCTCTATTCCTCCTCTTATCGGTGTGATTTAAGACAGATGCGGGCAGAGACGCAGTCCTCCTTTAATATAAAGTCACCACAATCTGAGGGCTTTTAAAAAATGTAAAAATAAAATAAAATAATAATAAAAATTCTCCCGACCTGCAAAATCTAGTTTTTCCTTCACCTCTGCAAAAGTACTGTTAACTTGATCCTGATTTGTGGATTGTGGCTCTCCTTTTCTTTTCTTCTTTCTCTTTGTGGCTGCTCAGTTTCACATCACCTGAGAGCTCCCAGCGAACATCTCACACAATGACACCTCTGCAAAATAAATAAAAACGGCACAAACGTTCAGTTTTCTGTCAGAGCTGCCGGAGCTATCCGAGGTGCTGACAGCGAGAGCGCCATCTTGCTCGGTAATGCACCCAAAGAGAATTTATGGAGCGTTTTTGCGCCCTGTCTGCAAAAAGGGGGGAGGTGGGCTAGGGAGACTGTGGATAGGCTACTGTGCTGCTTGAGCAAGTTCAGCTGACTGACATATACAGTACTTAAGTGAAAGATCAGCAGCAGAAACATTTGTTTTTCCTGCTAAAAAGACAATTTACCATTACTGACGTAAAGGCCGCACCTTCATTTCTATTTTTTCTTCTATGGTGTTCCTATATTTGTGTTATGCTTGTAGAAACAGAGCCCGCAGCAGTGTCTTTCCCTGGATGAGTAAAATGATAGCCATTTAGACAATCTCCCATGAACAGGCTGTGATGTAATGCAGGAGAAAGGCACACAGCAGGACTTGGCTCTCAGGACTATCCCCACTCTAATCCTGCTGTTCATACATGTTGGATGAGGCCCCCTCCCCCCACCCCACAGCATTCAGCCTCAGCCTCAGCCAATCCCCCCATCCTCCTCTCCTCTCATCAGATTGGATTCCTTGCACCAGAGGGAGTTAACTTTTTTTTTTTTTCCTTGTGTATCTTACATCCTTACTATGATTGTAATGCTTCACCCACGCTGGGCCACAGAGATGTCACAGGCTGAGCTGCCAAAGAAAGAAAAGGGATAAATAGAATGGCTCAAAGCACAAACACAAACTCTGTTAGGTTTTCTATCACTGTAGCTGTGCACCCTGCTCTTTGCTGCATGGATGAATTGTTATGCAATATATAGTTTATTATTAATAGATATCTAGTCCTGGTGAATATCCCTACTTGAAGTGCCAGAAACGGAGAGAGCAGCGTGAAAATCATCAGTGCTGTGTAAGTAAGAATTGTTTCTGGGTGACAAATTCAATTCAGTTTCATTCAAAATGATACATGTTCACAACAACACTCACCTCAAGGTGCTCTGTATAGTAAGGTAAAGACTGTTAGAGAAAATATAAAAATCAGATGATCTCTACGAGAAAACACTTGACAACAGTGGGAAGAAAGAACTCCCTGAACAGGAAGAGGCCTCCAACAGGGGCTAGCTAGATGGTGAGGGGAAATAAGAAGAGGGAAGGGAGTAAAGGAAGACAAAACACAAGTACTCAGTGCATGAGTGCATGTTACTGAACAGTTTGAGACTATAGCAGCACAACACGCTCACCTGATCCAGAGTTTGTGCCTCTCCTGAATCCAGACCTGAAGCCTCAGCCTGTCATTCTACTTTTAGAAACTCAGGTAAGGCTGCAGTGTGACAGCAAAGTGCTCTGTTGGGACGATGAAGTCTTGAGACATTAAGGGGCCTGATTAAAGGAGAAATACATCTCAACAAATGCTCATTTCTAAAAGCCTGCATTTTATTTCCCTCTTGTTGCCCTTTCAGCTGTCTGTGGGTTTCCTCACTGATCAGATTACTTTGCAGCCGGTATGTCCTGAAGGGCCATTTTCATCTTACATTCTTCTTTGTTCTGCAGATCCCAAAATAGTCTAACCCTGTTATAATGCCCACTGAAGCACTGAGATGTTTTATATAAAAACCTCTAATGCATGAGAGTCCTGCATTCACAGTTTTACTGGTGTGCAGAAACCATTAGCTGCAAAACATACTGAAGCATCAAGAGGGAAAGTGCCCCTCAAGCAGGCAAAAAGCACATTTCCTTAGGTGAAGACTATTTTAATCACCTCTTATCATGCTGGGTTTTTTAATCAATGTTATGGTTAAGTAACCACACCTGTAGAAAAATACATTACTCTTTTATTTTTATTTAATTGAGCAGAAACTGATTGAAACGATTTTGTAGCACAGGCTGGGGTGAGGTATCAGTTTCATGCAGGCAGAGATAGACCGAATAAAAAAAAAAAAGTACAATAAACAAACAACATATAAGTACCTCAGGTGCATATTGAGAACTAGGTTCAGTTTTAGTGCTTTAGGGTCAAGAACATGCCCCAAAGCTATAACCAAAGTCACACCTGTGCACTCTGAGAATGAACAGCAAACATTTGTTAAGTCTGTGAAATTGTACTGGAGGCTTTACGATAATAACGTGGGTTCAGTCAAACATATTGTTTCCTTGGGCTTTCAGTTGAGGTTAACTGTGGAGGTCATACTCAAACATTCCTCTCTTACAGCAGGTCTCAAAAGTACATATCCTCAGCTGGGTTCTGTAGCTGTGGAGGATCAGCGGCTTTGCTCTGAGCCCCTCCTGAATGCCTGAGCTCATGATCCCATCTCTGAGTCCAGACAGCCTTCAGAAGAAGCTCATTCTCATCCTTCTAGTCACTACGCACAGCTTGTGGTCACAGATGAGAGTGAGGATGCAAATCAGCAGCTTGGCCTTCACACTCAGCTCTCTCTTCAGCACAACAGATCAGGCTACCAAACTGGACGCCCACTGGCTCTTGGTAGTGCCTCAAAATTCTGTCCATCAAAAGTTATAAACACAGGGCAGCTCTGGCGGAGTCCAGCAACAATGAGTGTGGCCTATTGCTGACTATCCAAACCTGATCTTCCTACAGCTGTACAGGCACCAAACAGTCCCTGACAGCGGGCCTGATACCCCATCCTCCCAAAGGAGCTTCAACTAAGGCCATATGCCTAAGTAGACAGTCAGGGGGTGAAGAACAAGTACCTTCTCTAGTGCCCCGCCTTGGTCTCCCAGTCCAGACTGTGTTGACGGTGGTAAATTAATATTGTGCAAAAATTAATCTGTGGAGTCTTAAAAAGGATATTTGCTGAAGATCTGACTTTCTATAGCCTTTAAATGAAGTTAGATCTATAAGTTTATTGGTGTTTTATGAAGTACTAGATGTGATTTCTCTGTGTGTACTTGTGTACCAAGACAGTGAAAGCAGAGGAAGGCGAGGAGAGGACGGCATGTGGAAGATGAAGGAGAGTCTATATTTTCCTATTTTTGGATATTTGATTTCTCTGACAGGAATATTCCTTCTAAGTCTTTTCACTTCTCCTCCGCCTCCTCCTCTTCCTCTTGTTTCACTGTTTCGTCACGTCATATTCGACTCACTGATACATTGTGTTGCATGTCTGCGGTTTCCCTGGAAACAGAAAGGAGAGGATAAGATGGATTTCTGAAATGCGAGCAGAGAAGACAGTGCTTTCCTCTTACTTAACATTTAAACCAAGTGGGAAGAGCTTGAGGTGAATCTTTGTACCTTTGTGTATTTTTCTAGTCAGCTAATTACACCCAAAGCATTATGCAAATCAATCTGCATGTATTTTGTGACAGGTAAAGCAGAAACTGAATTACACTGATGGAATTTAAAAAGCAATTCACCCCTGACACCACGTCCACCTTCATCCTCACCCCACAATTCAGAGCTGTCCCAGGGGGGCAATGAGGGTGGAGCGCAGTGGCCCCGGGCAGACTTTGAGCCCGGCCTTAACAGCTCCCTCTGGAGAGGTAGCTCCACATCCTGACTTAGTGCTTTCTGCTTTCACTCTGTGGGGCCTGTAAAGAGCATCTGCTCCAACAAGCTTGTAACACCAACTTAGAAATATT